CCCCCCCCCCCCCCCCCCCCGCGACCGCAACGACCGCATTGCAGAGATGAAAGGATGCAAAACTGGTGCCTTTCTTGGCCGCCGGAGCCGGCTGCGCACCGGGCCTTCGGCATGACGAGCCAGTGCCAATGCCCATCCCCTTCACAGGCGCGACCAAGGCCGAGACGGGCCGTAACCAGGTGGAGGGCCATGGGCTTCCGGGCCTGGGGGCGGCCTGCACAGAGTGCAGCATGATGCCGCAACAACAAAGCAACAAGCATGTCTCGGCCTCCAGTGCGGTGGCGGATAGCCGGGTGGCGGATAGCCGGGAGGATGTCCATAGTAAGGATCTGGTCCAGGCCTGCACTTGGCTGAGCTCGAGCTTTCGGTCTTTGGGCCTAGTATGGCTGGGCGCAATGCGGCCGACCATAGTAGTCCTGAGAAGGAGATGTTGATATTCACATCTGGCGGCCACCCCAACACCACAGTCTACAAGCGAGGTTCGTAAGGTGGATAGCCAGGAGGTGGAAATCCGGGAGGTCCATGCATATGCGGAGGAGGCCTCAACAGCAGTGGAATTTGGGACTACTGGATACTCCTGGTCCCCCTCTACGGCCGTAAGGCCCGGACGGCCCGTAGGGTGCGCCGTAGTCCGGCGGTGGTCTCCTCCGCTGCATCGGCAAAGCCCGGCAAAGCCAAGGACTTCAAACATTTGCTGACAAAGGCTGGCCGTTGTTGGCACTCGATGTTGGATTCGTTAGTCAGGGAAAAACTCTAGTCTCCAACATTTCAAATCATTGCTAGCAAGGCACGCATAGTAGTCCGGTGGTGGCCGGTGCGGGTAGCCAGGAGGAGGTGGTCCTCGCATAGCCTGAAACCAGAAACGAGGAATCAAAAGGGGACTTGATCACAGTCTTCAGCTTCCCACCAAGTGCGGTGGCGGAGGGCCAAAAGCCCCTGGCGGTGGACCAGGCCTGGCACCGCTACAACTGTGGCGATGCAGTCCCACGTTGGAAATCCGTGCAGCCGAGTAGCCCGAGCGGGCGGGGTGGTATGTGGCTTGGCGGCCCATCAGGCCTGGGCCTCTCCACCGTTTTGCGTTTTCCCAGCTTCTCGGCTTCCCGGCTTCCCGCTGAGCCCAATGCCCCAGTTGCCCAGGCGGGGCTGCGTCTGCCGGGCTTGCTTTGCCTAGGGTCAGCTTCCGACAGCGAAGCGGGAGATCCTGGAACTGAAGGGCCAAGCCATCGCCATTTGGCGGAGCATCTCCCGGTGTTGCGCTCGGAGGTGCAGCCTTGGCACGCCTCGGATCCCGCTTACGCGACGTCGAGGAAACGCAACGCATCTGGTGACGCTTGTCTGCAGTCTGTTGAGAAGATCACCCTCCAGGAAGTGGGGACCTTGGCATGATCAGAAAGTGATGCGGCCTTACTCAATACAAATTGTCAGGCACATATCGAGAACCTGAAACATAGTCAAACCTCTTTGACTTTTCGGTCCCGCACGACTCGCTGGACGGAAGCGCAGCCTGTAAGGACCCGCGGATGACCACCCCATCTCAACCCTTGATCCATCTCAAGGCTAATGACATTTCGGCAGCGATTGCTCGTCATTGCCCGTTCCGAGGGCTGTGATGACTGCGGCTGCAGCTGCACCCATAGTGACTGGTGCAAAAAAAGCTTCCTGTTGGTCGAAGCCTCAAGGCTCACCACGAGCTTGAGCTGCAGACTTGGAGGCAGTACTTGGGCTAATGGGGGAAAAGGAGAGAGGATGCTCTTACACATCAAATCTCACCTCATGCCATCGGTGCAACAAAGGGTTGGGGTGCAAAAACTTGCTTGTGAAGACAATCACTCCCGTCCCCTCCCTTGCGTCTCCACTCCCGCGCACCTGAGGAGGGCCTCCGGGTGGACCGGCGCCCTGGCTTACAGGCTTCCGACATGACTGGTCAAAGGCATCTGACCGAACCCAGAAGCTTTAAGCTTCCCGCTGGTGGCATGTGGGGCGGCATATGCGGCGGCATGTGTGGCCTGAAACCGTTGAGCGAAACAGTGAAAAAGGCAATCGCCATCCGTGTAGAAAATTGCCACCTAGTGCGTTGCTATGAACTTTCGGACATACTCTGACTGGCACTCCCATTGAAGGCATCTAGAGGTTCTTCTCTTGGGTGCGGGAGCTATCCTCGATGTATTGCTGCTCGAATAGAACTGCTGACGTCCTGAATGCTCCGTGTCATCTCAACTCCATGTCACATGCGATGAATGTCGATGAAGGCCATGTGACTGTTGTCATTGGGGCCATAACATCCCCATCCTCGGTGGAAGCACATGGGGCGGAGGACCCATCGGATGTCCAGGAGGAGGCCTCACCACTGGGCTGTCACAAGAGGCTATAACCGAAAGCAGCTGACCGGAGCTCCCACCCCATCCAGTGAGGCGGTGCCATTCCAGGCCTGAGAACCGCAAGACTGTGCGAGGAGTCCCTGCTCTAGATGCTGAGTGCCGGAACGGTGGCATTCCTGGCACCATGTGAGGTGGCGGCATGCCTGTTCCGGCCAGCTATGGCTTTGCCAGCTCCCTCCCAGATGCTCCAAGGCCACAGCCGGGAACCCAGCCATCGGGCGGACCCTTGGCGGGCATTGGCATGTCAAAGACTGCCGCAGCTTCGCAAGCCAGAACGGCACAACTGGGGAAAAAAACCTCCCTGCTCTGTCTCTCAAGCACTCGCTCCTCCCTCCCTGCTCTCACTGCAGACCGGTCGCTGGCGCGCCGGCCTTCTTCGCGGGCGGACCTGGACCCCTGCAAGGGCGGCAAAGAGCGGTGCTGCTACGAAGGCGAAGGCGAATGTTTTTTTACGGTTTGGGCGGTTTGAGGACATAACTGCTCCATGAAAGGCCTTTCTTTGAATCCTTACAAGCATCTTTCGATTGAGTCAAGCTCTGTGTAGCTGCTTCTACAGTGGGTGGAGCCACGGCGCGCTATTTATGTCTCGATTATGCCACGGGCCGTGCAGTGAACAACGGTTGTCGGGCCTGTTCTCGGCGAAGTCGACCCGGATCTTCGACGAGCCTATTCTCTCCTGATGAATACAGGTTTGCCTTCAGCATCCGCACCGACCGCGAGAAGCATTGGGCAGCCGAAGGTCCCCGGAGAGGCGGATGGCCCGGTCGACGCAAGTCGTGTCGGAGAACTCGATGTGGCAGAAGAGCGTGCCGCTGCGCTTGCTCTTGTCCTTGGACAAGCGTTTTCGGGCGACAAGTCCACAGCACATGCTGCATTGAAGCCGAATGCTGCGGCATCAGCTCCTGTACCTGGCTTTTGGCTTAAGGACCTGACCAATCGAATTTCTCTGATCTCGCCACCTTAGGGAAAAAAGAAGAGGGGGAAGAATCCGCCTTGGACCCAGGCTGTGCGCCACGAAAGCTTACTTCCGCTGGTGGGGCCGGATCCAAGGTTATCAGGCATCTAATTTGCGGAAAGTAGCAACTCGTATCCAGCATGCCCATGCGGATCTGACAGACGCCTGATGAGTTCGCGGCATTTGCCGAAGATTTCCCGTATCTCTTCTTCGGTGACTTCCTTCACAAGAAACGCTTTGTCTTGTCGATTTTGGTTCGTTGTTGAGGCCCGGGCTCCAGGAAGGCCTCCGACCCACACCTGAGACTGTGCACCGCGAATTGCAACCGTGTTATTGGCTGTGCAAATAGGTCTGTGATCGACATGGACCCTTCCAAAATCCGAGCCCAGCCGTTCTCCGAGCTCACTCTGAGCAGGGCACCGTTCGGCAATCCTCGGGCTTCCTGTGCGGCTTCTTTGAAGGCCGCTTCAGGTTCGGGCGTGTGCCAGGACTCGTGTCGATTGTCTCGTCCGTTTCGCTCCGTGTGCCAATGCAAAGTGCACAGCACGGCCACGGCCAAGTGCAGGAGCAGCGGGGACAAAATGGACCCCATGCAATGGGCTCGTGTCATTAGGACTTTGAAAGCTCACAGTACTGTACGCCTCTGTTAAGGGTGTTGACACGGATGGAAGTCTTTCAAAGAAGCAGCCAGCTTAAGACATGCAGGCGCACTGCGTCTCTGGCACAGTCCGGTCTTTGCCGACCCGGTACCTTCCCAGCACACCAGAGTTAACACAAGCAGACGTGATGCACACACGTCAATCAGCATGAGGCACGCAGCCAACGGCTTGTCCTCAGCGAAATCCACGCGAATGGGGACCTGAACGAGCAGATGGGCATTCCCGAAAGAATTGACTGCACAAATGGTCGCAGACTAATTAGCCTCGAGTGAACATTGCCGAGGTCACCACTCCATGGACCGGCGTGCCAGCCAGCGCCGCAGCCTTGTCAACGGCCTGATGTACAAGCGACATGTCGTTCAAACACTCCAACTTCAAGATTACCAAGCAGCTTCGTCTCGAATGGCAGCTGAATCATGCCTCTGTCTCGAAGAACTTGACGTGGCCGAACTTGCCGTTTCTCAGTTGGTTTACCTCCGTGTCCAACACAGACAGACAATGTGGGCGTATAAGTGTCCAGGATAGTGGCAACAACTGCAACGGAGATTTCGGGAATCCTTTTTCGTCTTCGGATGTATGTACCCACTGCGGCCCCTAGTCTTCTGACGAGCGTAGGCGAACCATCACGATTGCACTCAACTCCGTGTCCGTTTTAGATTCGACTTCGGGCCATGTCAGCATGTACAGCAGTTTGAAACGTTGGACAAAGCACACTGCCTGCAGGCAGATCATCTCAACTCCACCACATGGCTCAAAGAGGTCGATGATGTCCTGCACAGGCCCGTCAAGAAAGCAGGTCTTTATTTTGTCCACAAAATGTTCCGGAGATCAAGAGCTCTAGTCGGGGCTTGTGCAGTGGCATTGTAGGCATCGGGGTCTGCTGCTTGCCTTCGCCGAGAGGCATGTGCAGCTTTGCGAACTGCTCAGATGCGCAGGCCCTTCAGCCCAACTCTTTCAAAGCCCACAGTCCGCCACACGTTCCACATGTCATGTCCAGATTCCGCAGCGACTGCATCCGCAAGTTATGTCGTCCAACGCTTTCTCTTAAAGCCCTTGTGTCCTGCTCGGAGGCCTCTATGGAAACGTCACCGACCCAGAGCCTGGGCGCAAGGTGTGAATAAGCTGCGGAAATATGCAGAAATGTAAGGCAAACGGAACAGAGTCCTTCGTCAAAGTCTTGCGTGGCTCGGTAACCCTTCTAACGCCCTCGAGTGCCTTCGTAATCTTCCACACAGCCTCCAACTTGTGCAACCACCGAGCATAAAGTCTCAAACACGCATGCCATTCGTCATGAAGACTGCAGTCGCATGCAAAAGGATAATGATAGCAGGAAAAGGGCTGAAGAGTTTCTTCAACAGACCCTGATTGAGGCTGCAACTACCAAGCAGCTGCTAAATGCTGCCAAAAGTTTCTAATAAAGAAATGTGACTCGAGGACCCAAAGAGAACTCTCAGCCCACGGCGTGTGGCCATTCGGGGGCTTGACGCTCTTGGGTCGGTACCGTCGGCTGCTAGGTGCCTGTGGAAGTTGTGTTTTGGGCTTGAGCATACCGGAGTGTGCAAGCCGATTCGAAGCGTATAGACCATAGATGAACAAATACATTAGTTCATGGATTAGTACATGAATAAATCAATCGGTTTGAATAACCGAATATGTGTATATATATATATGTTGTATGTCATCATAGTTAAAGGAGCTTGCATAAGCCGATGAGGTGCTGCTCGAGCCTCCGCTTCCAGCTTAGGGTTGTAGGCCACCTGCAGCGACCCACAGGCCGGAAACATCAAAAGAAAAAAATCACCATGATTACTACTGTTACTATTACTGTTACTGTTACTGTTACTATTACTGTTACTGTTACTATTAATGTTACTATTACTCTTACTATTGCTATTAATGTTACTATTACTATTACTGTCTGCACTGCACTACCCACCTATTCCGTTGCAGGCACACGCACTGGAACTCCCTCTTGACGGATAGCGCTCCGTCGTAGATCCATGCAACGAGAATGGCTCTCATGGATCAGACGCCTACAACTGAGTCGTAAGATGTCGGCTTATGGCAGTTTCTTGAGCCACAAAGCTGCGTTTGAGGCAGAGCGCTTGAAATCATATACACTCTGCAAGGCAGAAGTGTAATTGAGTTGTCGGTAGAGCACTGAGCACAGTCTGCTGTGCAGGCCGGTGGTACCCTGACCATGGTTCGCTCTCATAGCTCTTATCGTGACACCAGCGAATTGCACGAGGCATCGAGATCTGTTCGCACTGTCGCTATTACTATTACTACTACAACTACTAATAATACAAAGATTACTAGTACTATTCCGATTACGATGATGATGATGATTGGAATTATGAACGTGATGATTATTGTGATTCTTATTATGGCGGCGCAGAAACTCCAAGCACGACTTCTACCTGCGGAAGGCCTTGTCCATGTAGGCATAGTCTATCTGGATCTTGATTCCTGGAAGCAAGAAATCTCGCGAGTCTTCCGATTCCTGCTGGGGCCCGTGCCCATGAAGTCGTCGCCCTGCTTCTTCATCGCTTCGTCCACGTTCCTCGTGTCCTCAAACCTGTGCAAGAGACCATGCCCTGCGAAATTCGCGTGTTCCGAGCGTACGGCAAACACTCAAAAAACCACCAAGATCCCAACTGCACATGCGCGAAGTAACCACGCACGTGACGTTCACTGCATCTGACCTGCGCAAGCGGCTTGGCACATGCAGCAATCCCACAGTCAATGGCGTCCCTCGAGCTTTGACCGCTGTGACATGCAATTGCAGCCCAGTGTTCGTCATCCAGCATACGCAATGAAGAAGAGTCGATAGAGCGTGCTGCGAACAGCCTCCACGATCTTGCCGCAGTCCTTAAAGAAGTCCTGAAGCTCCTGACGCGAGTCGCAGAACAGGAACGCACAAGGGATTATATTATTATGTGTTGTTGGGCCGGCCTCCTCCTCGGGCTTCTTGTCCACCCAACCGACCCAGATGGTTTTACAACCTTGTAGCAACACCCCAAGAGCGAAAGCAAGAGAGAGAAGCGGGAGAGCAGAAAAGCCGGGCTCCGGGCCTTCAGGCTTCCTGGGCTGAACGGGACACAGATACTTCTTCATACTTCTCTTCACAGCCACAGGAAGAAGGCTCCCTGTCGACCTTTTGAAAGCCGAGGTTCTTTGGTCGGTGCGGTCCTCCGCGACCTGAGGTCTCCCGACTGGATCTTCACGAATCAATCTAAATCTCTAGGTGTGGTGTATGTGTGTGCGTATAGATATATATAGGTACACACACATCCTTTCATAGTTAGATTACCGACTACAGCTAGTCACATGGACATGCACAGAAAGATGGATGAACACGGAGACATTTGTCACTTGTTTTGTTGTACCTGATTCTGATGCAGTGGGCAAGACAAAAGCTGTCAGTGTGCGCTGCAGAATAAAGTTGAAAAGGTGCACCTGAAGGCACCTCTCCTCGAAACCGTACGTGCACTTTCCCGAGTACGACTGCTTTGCTATGATCCGCACGAAACAGAAGCCCTGCATGCCATTTAGGCCCGAAGGCTTTCCCTGCTTTCTCAACTATTCAAGTTCTTCCAATCAGCAACAACTGCCTGCACGGGCTCTGCAGGGCAAGGAACTTCTGCCTGTTCATCTCCACAATTTGCCCTGGGCTTCAGACGCCCTCCGCCGTCGTCGCGACTTCGGCTACGAGGTCGCCGTCGCCCACGGCTTCCTGGCAGCTCAATGACAAATGCGGGCCTGTTTTGACTTTGGCTGTTTAGATGGAAAAACTTGATTCCTCCTTTTGCGCACACACAGACAGAAGCCAATGACCAACGGGTGGTATGTGTCTACCGCTTGCAATGCCAGCAAATCGCAAAGAGCGACGCATGCCTGGGCTAAGGTCCCTGCTCCTTCGAGCACCGCTGCGGCTGCGTGGCGAACGCGCGGGTCGGCTTCGATCCCTGGAATGTCTCACAGGATGCGACCACAAGTACTGGCAACTGAAGTAACACTGTCAGCGGAGTCGCCTGCTTTTGCCGGCTCCCGATCTGGACTTCTTCCGTCTGCGTGCCGGCGAGCGGGGAGGCGGCGATCGGGGCCTCGGCAAACAGCAGCGACAGCTGCGCGACGCCCACGGCGACTGGGCCGGAAGGCACCAAGAAGCTGGCGGAGACCTCTTGGCCGATCCAGAGCGCGACCGAGCTGGCGCTGAAGCCGAACGAGGCCGACTCCTTCGAGCTTGCCCGGAAATGATCCTGTGTTGTCAAGAGTCACGAGATGCCGGGAGCCTCAGTTTCTGTCGATTCTCGGAGCGCTTGCGCCGCCGCCGGCGCTCGGGCGATCGCTTCGGCTCGGAGCGCCGATCCGGGCCTGAGCGTGATAAAGCGGGTCGTAAGGGGCCCACCATGGCCTACAGAAAGTTCTCCTGGCAAAAAGTCGATATCACCCCGACACAGACTAGAGCAAAGATGTCCATTGCCTTCAGCAGCCCAAAGAATATCTTGCTGATCGAAGCGCAGCAAGTCGCTCAGGTTCTGACTTGCCCGGCTCTTGCTGCGGCTCCGGGAGTGGCGCCTGACAAAGCATCCTATCTGAAACAGCACAAGATGCTCATTGAGTAGTGCGGCACGGCTTGCCGGCTTGTGAGCCTAAGCTCCGAACGCCATGATGGCCAATCAAAACGGGCTGCTGCTGTCCGAATCGGACCCTGCTCTGCTTGCAAAGTCTGACTGAGGTTGAGTTTGTATCTTGGCTTCGGGTGACGGCTCCACGACGGTGGATCGCCAGTCGGCTGGGTTAAAATTACTATTGGGTGGCCATGATCTCTGCACACGTCCTAGAGCTCGGCCAGCCCTACTTCCCCCATGAGGGCAGCTTGAGCCGTTGCCCCAGGGCCGTATACCCTCCCTTTGCCGAATCGACCATCTTGCCAAGCATAGAGGTCACCAAGCGTGGGCTTTGACGTGAGCAGCATCGCCCCCGGCTTTTTCAAAAGGCACCGAAGTTGAGTTCTCTTCTAGCCGACGGCCTGAGAGTCAGGGATGCGAGTTCACACGCCGGGACATTCGGTGCAGCACTCCAACTGGCTGAAGCAGCGGCACGAGGGTCCATTCTTGTTTTAGCTGTGCCTGGCCTACGTGCCGAGCCGGAATGGCGCGCAGATGTTCGGCGCGCCTCACGCTTCTGAGAACCATCAGAGCCCAGCGAGAGCTCAAGGATTTATGGAGATCGTCCTGCAGTCTCGACTCCGGACTGAAAGCTGAAGCGGGTGATGCAGCAGACCTGCACACAAGGCATAGGAGATCTCTGCAGTGTTTCATGTGCATGACAGAAGCCTGGACTGCAAAGCATGAGGTGGCCTGCCACGCTCGCTGGCTTGGGGTGAATCAGGTGCCTGTGCAGCCATGCCGAACGGCGATCTCCATATTTCATGCTCTCATGCAAACAGGTGCACTGCATCACTACAATCAACGGGATGGGTGAAGACGCACAGCCCAGTCTGTATGGCTCCCGGCATCCGCAAAGCTGACACCAAACTGGCAAGCAGCATACCAGCAAACACAGGATTTTCAGGAGACCGCCATGCGAACTTTTTGTCAGGACCCAAATCCCGTTGGAACGCGAAGCACCTCCTCCTCTTCCGGCATGGCGCCCGAAATTGTAACCATCACCTCCTCACACTCAGCGGGAGCACTGCGTCACGAAGCATCTTGGTAGAGTCGAGAGCTGCACATGACTTGTGCGCGGGGGCCCTCACCTCGCGAAGTCGAGCCGCCTCTTCGGCCAGCACCTGGTGTTCGAAGTGCAGCTGATCCAGCTCCACCTTTGACCATTTGTCACCATTTTCCCCCTCGTCAGTGGGCTCACCACAAAACTGCCGGCCTGCTGCAGTTGTATGACGCGCCGTTGCTCAACAAGTCTGGAGGCAAGCACTTCGTCGACCTAAGAGAATGTGGCGAAGCAGAAAGTGCAGACCATGGAGGCCACGGACCAAATGAGGGAGTGCTTTTCGAGCTGCTGGCAAGACCCGATTGCTGCACAGCCTCGACAATCCACGCAAGCTTCAAAGAGGGATAGGAAGCGCACGGAGCACAGGGGTCACCGTGCCTCCAGCTCCAATTGGGATTCAAGGTCGTCCAAGCAACGGCTCAGTCGACGCTCGGCTAGAGAGAGCTTGTAGCAGCCCTGCAGACTACGCCGCATGCTCAAGACTCCATCGCTGAGAAATTATGAAGGCATTGCTGATTGTTGTAAGTAAGCATCTTGAAGCATCGTGCACACTTCAGTCTATCACATTCATGAAAACGACTGCAGCCTCCTCGAAATCGCGAATGCGGAGCTCAAGACCATCGAGGAAAAGGAACACCTGACCGATTGGCGAAAAAGCCCAACAAGTGACGGAACATTGTCTCAGCGCACGCAGGTGCACCGCACGAGCGGAGACTTTTTTGCACGCGCTCAGCCACCCTCAATCTGCGAGATGATGCCGAAAACCGTTTCATCCCGCACGTCCTTTGCATAACCTCTGCCAGGCTACTGCAAGCTTTAGAGCCAAAGGGTCAAGACCTCAGGCTGCAGCTGGGCCCCGATGCATAGCCACTGTCACCCGGCAACAAAGCGGAGGCCACATCCAAGGCATGCCTGGCAGTAAGGCGAAAGTGAGAGTGGGAGCGTTCGAGGATGCGAAGTTGCCCACTCGGAAGCCTCCTCACGGCAGCTGCTTCGGCTGGCTGGCAAAGGTCGAGGCATTGAGCCTGAGGAGCCGATGGGACACAAAGCTCCTAGTCCTCTATGAACAATGCGCATCTGCTCACGTTCCACCTTGAGTCGAAGAAGCTCTGCGGCTTCCACCGTCAGGGTCTCCTACCAAAACCGTCAGCACCAACTTCGCCCTTACCCCCCCCCCACGAGAACCAATCAGAAACTATGCTGTTGTGCAAGCCTTACCCAGCGCTCGTTGCAGCGATCGAAGCCTGCCGGCTACTTTATTCGGGCGATGCCAACAACCGCAACACGTGAGCCTGCAATCTGCAGCTGCGACAAGTTCATCTGGTTGAAGCTGAAGGGAAGCCACTTGAGCCTCCACACGCGGTTCCATACCACCCACATCTGCCAACCCATGCAAACAAACTGCCTGAAAAGCACGCAGCAGCTCTTCGTCCATGCCACTCGTCTTCAGAAGCAGGAGCCCAGCCTAACACAGTGCATCCAGACAAACCGATTCGTGCTCCAAAATCTAATCCGTTCGTCCCTCTTGTTCTGTCCTTGGTTCGTTCTCTCGAGTTCAAGGCTTGTCCAAGTATCGCTTTTCCTTCTGCCGGTGCAAATTGCACTCCGCGCTTGATACTTACCCCCTTGAAGCAGTTTGCTCGTCTTCCTCCAACTTTTTCTTGCAGTCTCAAGTCCCTTTCGATTGGCCTCCTTGAATTTCTTTCGTGTTCTAGTCATAGTCCCTTTCAAGCGGTGTGCTCTCTCCTCAAATTATCGAATCCATTTCGAGTGGTGTGCTCTCGTCGTTTCCTCAAATTTCTAGTCGCTTTCGAACGTCTTTGCTGGTTTCTCATATGCTGCCATCCTTGCTTCCTCTGTTCTCAGACTCTCTCAACCTGTCTGAGCGCCTTGCTCCTCCACCTTGAATTTTACAGCACTTTTCGAGTGGCTTGCTCATATTTCTCAAATGCCCTCATCCATGTGGCACAGCTGAGTCCTCTGTCTCTCATCCTGTTGTCCTTTACCACGAGAACTGGTGATGCTTCTCCAAATCTCGTGTCTCCTGTCCATTTTGAACGATGTGTGCCTGTTGAGTTTCTCAAGCTCTTTTTCCCTATCCAGCTCAATAGGGCATTCTGTTGCAAAGCGCCTCTGATCCATCTCGTTACGTACAGTGCAGCGCTCCCGAACAGATGAGCGATGAGGCGCCACATAACTGACATAGCTCCCACGAAAGGCCGCACAGGGGCCCGGGCCGAGAAATTCTGTCAATCTCTTTGACTGGCTGCATGTGTTCCACCCAGCCAGCCGTTTAGCTTTATCCGAACTGTATCCAACTCGTAGTCCGAAGAGGCCAAGGTGGTATATCCCATCCGTCTCTATAAAATTCCCTCCTTGTTCTGCACCTTTATCAACGATCATGGCACGAGAGACGCAAAGCGCTCGGGTGGTGGATGCAAATTAGATGCAAGGGAATGCGCAGGTGACAACTGGACATGCAGTGCCCACACAGCCTCCAGAGCTGCACCGGCTGCGTCGGCCGTGAGCCAGTGTGCCTGTGGCAGGGTACGGCGGAACAGGATGAACACGACATAACACGACATAACCCCCGTGCCTCGGAAGCGGGCACTGCAGAATCCAGCTGTCTGCTTACCAACTCTCGGTGCAGAAGCACTGCTGCGGCTAGGTCATCGCTGAGGGCCTGGGAATCTCTCCACACTGTTGCATACTCTTTCCCCCAAGTCCCTGCCTCGGCATCTGTCGGCCCTCCCCGATCAGACTCCTCCAGCAGAACAGGGAAAAGCCGCTTGCATCCAAGACGTCTCTTGTGCGGCCTCGAGCTGCAACTCGTCGGGTGTGCTGAGCTCTTCGCTCATCTCTTCCAGCACAGATAGGGAGAGCGGTGGAGCTCCGGGATGCAAGAAGCCTCGAAGTAGCGCCCGCCCATCAGCACCTCGGCACCTGCAGCAATGTCCAGCTGCATGGAACGTGCAAACCTCCTTGTGCCCATTAGGCTTTGAGGCAGGGCTCCAGGCAGGCATCCGGCGGTGCACCCGGGCCTCGCACTGCAAAGCGGAGCTCGGAAGGTGGCGCTTGACACCCCCCGGAGCCACCCAAAGCTGCTCCAAGTTGGCCATCTTCTCGGCCTCCGAACTGAAAGACTGAACGACTGAATTTCGGGCTTCCTTAAGCAGTTCTTTAACTGCTGGGCTTCATGGAGATGGGTTCTCGGAGGAAGGCAGGACCAGTCCTGCCGACCAACTGCTGGCGCTGATCCGACGCTCTCGACTCTTGAAGCGGATGAACGACGAGGGGTCTCAAACAGAGACAGAGAGACAGAGAGAGGGACGCTCAAAGCGAGATCATGGAGAACTGATCCGAGCTTGTCTCGTCTCGAACTTCTGAACTTGCGTGTGTGAACGTTCTGCTCATCCGCCCCAAGCTAATTCCCCTTTGTATTGTATTCAGATGTATTCAGTGCATGTCTACTGACCATCCTTGTTCTTGGTCAAGGGGTGGACAACGACACCCTCGAGTATACTCTGGGAGCATGCCGGGTGATAGTGGTGTGCCTCAGCATTTTCTCCGCAGGCTGCGCAAGCTGCCCAGCCATCCAGCTCTGCGGTGGCACCCCCGAGCTGTACCTTCACGCAGATGCAAAAGGGCACATTTTGTGTGGCTTTGACCGAGAGCTGAATGCCTAGCAGCCTAGCATCGATACTTGTAGCTCTGAGAAGGGCGACACTATGTTTGCCGCAAACTTCCACCATACGAACCTCGGCGGCGTCTTGTGAGCCAAGAGGGTCACTTTGGTCGCCTCTGCAAGTGCTTCGCACTACGCTTGTCGCGCATCGTCCGGGTCCGGGTCGTGGCGCCTCGCCACGGACCTCCGGCCTCTGCGAGGGCTAGAGCGGCTGGAGCCGGGCAGGAGCTTTTGAGGAAGGGGCAGCAGCTTGTTGTCGTGACCCGTGAGGAAGCGGAAGCGGCCAGGACCTTCCGGAAGTAGAAGCCGGTCGTGACCGGAGAGCCACTGGCGAATGTTCTCGGCATCCAGGGCCAAAGCATCGTCGGGCTCAAGTGCCTCTAGCTCTGCCCTGAGCCTTTTCTGCCGCTTCTTTTGAAAGCGCACGGAGCAGTGGAAGCACAAGCGCACCACGTTCTGCCAGGAGGACGCCATCGGCTGCACACCGAGCTCTTTCAACTCGAAGGCTGAATTCATCATCCTCTCGTTCAGCCTTACCAGGGCAGGATGTGTCTCGGCTCTTTTCATTTCGTCTAGAACGAGGTAGGCGTTCTCAGACTGGTGTCTGTGCGACAGGATGTATCCATGGAGCAGCAGGGTGTAGGCCGTCTCGTCGTAGGGAATGGCACGGTCTTTCAACTCCCAGAAATAACGCTCCCAAAGGCTCCAGTCAAAGTAGCACATGGAGTGAAAGATCTTTCGATAGATCTTCTTTCTCAGCTCTTTGACTTGGTCCTGGGTCAAAGCTTCACCGGGCTGCGGCTCCAGCGGAGGATTGGGGGGCCACCGAAAGTTTGGATCTCCCACCGGCTTGGCAGCGGAGTTCTCGTCGTAAGGCCACTGGGGCCACACAGTCACACCTCGGCATTGAGAGAATCGAGCCAAAGGCCTGAGACGGGTCCAGCGCTTCATCGAGGACAAGCAGTGGGCTCATGTAACTTCCGTTTCATCTGCGGCACTAAAGCTTCAGCGTGGCTCAGCGGTCGTGGAGCCAGAACAGCTGAAGCCAGAAGTTAGGTATAGGTGTGCTGGGAACTGGCTCCGTCCGTCAACATTTTGATGGATGTGCTCTGTCTGCGTGTGTTTGCTTGGTCGCATCTGTGCGATTCGGCTGCACCCGGGTGTTTACTACCTCTGTAAAACCTGCACGGCATCCACCTGTCCAGATGCAGGTTGCTCTTGGGAGAGATCGCAAGACAGATCGCGCAGAAATGCAGCAGGCGCACATACTGGCTCCGGAAGCCAATGAGGCCTTCCCGACCTCATCGTCGGTTGCGGCATGAACCAACACACGCACACATTCTCACACAGAGAACTAGATACGCTGTGTTGATTGATTATCGTGGGTCCTTTTACTGATCCAAACCAGGAGAACTACCCCGAACTTCACTACACGACCTCATCTTGACCAGGGTCTCTGTAGAATCAACTCAGCAAAGAAACCGGGGAGCGAACACGAGGGACACGTATAAGTTCGTCGGTCATCGGGCATGGTGCATCTGGAACCATGGTGACGTGCGACAACACCCAAACGGCACATGTGCTGCAGAGCTGTGCCTTTGGCACGCGCACAGGAAGCCCCACGTCTGGCTCAGCAGCTTCCTAGCACAACTCCAGCTGATTGAAATGACAGGGTCCTCGTTAAGGCATCTTACCCAAAGCATCTCCACCTCCGGATCGACGAAGGCTCGAGGAGATCTGACTCTGACAAGTACGACCTGGGCTCCGGGGCTTCAGAAGCAGATTCGCGAAAAAGGCAGCTGAATGCAGCTGAGCTGAAGGCACTGTGACCTCCTCGCCAATCCGAATGCTGGTCAAGGCAACAATCCTCACTCGACGTGTCGAGGCGAGCCCACCAAGCGGAATCCGAGAGGCCTGACCCCACCATCAGCATCAACACTTAGACGAGCTCTGGGCCTCAGAGCAAATGATGAAAGAAACCATGTGTGGAAAGTCAAGTTTTGTGGCTCCAGCAGACAGGAGTGGTTGGCTCGGCATGCAGTGGCATAGAGCCCAGTTCTCCCATCCGGCACCTGATGTTGTCGGAGCTGCCAACAGAGACACGCTCATGCTAAGATGAGAAACACCTCGATTCCGTTGACGCGCAGGACCTGGGCAAGGCTCCATCCAATTTCTTGAGGCAACGGGTAAGCCGACGTGGGTCAAGCTGTGTCTCCGCGCCCGCAAGAACAAAAATGCTTCGTCATCCCCTTTGGACACTTCCTCCTCTGCAAGCCAGTCCTGGAAGCTCTTTGCTTTGGCTCATCGTGTTGCACAGAAGGCAAAGAGCACCACGGAGTTCTCTGACACTGAGTCCTCGAAACCGGGCTCCTCTAGATCCGGGACGTGGAGCGAAAGCACCGCATGCCTCCGTGGCTTCAGGAACCGTTCGAAGCCCTTCGAATCTCAAGCATGTCCGACGAGCATTCATAAACACACCCGATTCGCAATTCTGACCATGGACACGAAACAGACCAGGCATGGTGCAAGACAGTCATACCAATGACCCCAAAAGGTTTTTCTCGAGACGGTTGTTTGTCAAACCCTCGTGGTTTCTTACGGCAAACATCTGCAGACCCGGAGGAGGCGGTCCTCTTTTCGGCATTGAGCTTTCGAAAACTCGCCAGTGCCTGCACGAGCCACATAAGGATAAATGCATATCCACGTGTATCTATTGACTTGTGTGCTTGCTCATCTTGGATGTACTTATGTTTTTGCACATGTGTCTCTATACATATGTATACAGACATACCTACACAGATACAGGTAGAGATAGAGATAGAGACAGAAATAGAGACAGAGAGAGATAGAGAGATAGAGGGATAAAGAGATACAGAAATAGAGAGATAGAGAGATACAGATACATAGATATAGAAACATAGAGATAAAGAGACATAGAGACATAGATAATATGAATATAAATATATATATATGTGTACATATATATATATCATACATCTATACATATAGATGAGTGGGCAGAAATACAAGTAAATAGAGGTTAAAGTTAGTTAAGAAAAAGAGGAGCGCACGCTACGTGATAGGGTTTATGGCTTGCTTAGGGCTTGCGTCAGGTCCCGGCCCTCTCTGTGACCCCCCCCCTTCGCCCCTACCAGACCATACCAGTGGTGGGGGGAGGATTAACCCGCTTGGTAACCAGAATCCCCACTTTGCAACCACTGCACAACCACAGGCACTGTTTTCGGTGTGAGAATCACCACTTTACAACTGCTGAGCATCAGAACGCCCATTTTGCAACCCGTCTGCCTATATGTGTTTCTGTGTCTGTCAGCCTGTCTTTGATACTGTCATGGGTTTGTGGCTGGATTTTTAAAAAAATCATATTATCTTTACCTCATGTTTTCCCCAAGACAGACACACCAAAAAAAAAGACATTTGTTGAAAGCGTTTGTGCTGCATAAATCATAAATACAACATCAAGTGTAGTAAAATTTGGGGGTCAAGTATTGGTTTTCATATGTATGTATATATATATATGAGAGAGGCACCTTTAGGGTCTATTTCACGCTTTCCCATTCTGCCTCTATGCTTTATTAATAACTATTTAAACTATTTAAATTATTTAAACTATTTAAATGGGGGGGTTGGTGGCCC